TGGGGCTCACTTTCTGTCCGGGCCCTTGGCAGCTGCCTTGTTCGCCCATGTCTGTGTCCGGCTCTGACTGAATGCTAAGTAAAATGCACGTCCTGTTCAGCCATACAAGGGCTTTACGTGGCTTCACTGCAGATGAAAGTGTTGCAAGCTGCGTTGTCCCACCAGCACCACCCAGACTTGATTTTGATTCCTTGAAGGAAAAACAAGAGAAACTTGGAGAAGAAGAGATGACAACTAAAGAAGAATTCACTGACATGAAGCAAGAACTGGCATTGAGTATTGGGCAACATCCAACAAGATGATTACAGTGCACGCGGTGTTCTTGTGGGGCAACGTACCCTGTTATAAACAAAGAAAGTTATGTTCTGAGGGGTGGAGGTTGTTCTGATGTCTTCTTGGAAGAGAGTCGGATTTGAGTGTTTGTGAAAAAAAGTAAAGAGTGAACCTTGGAAGAGCACACACCAACTGCTGAAGCTTCCTGAGCCTGACGAAGGGTTTTTGAACCCGAAAGCTTGCTTAATAACTATTTTCCAACCATTTGGGTTGGTCTAATAAAAGATATCAAATTCACCCAAGGAACCTTGTCTGAGTGAACCTTGGAGAATTCTTTAGCAAAATGGTTGTCAGCAGGGGTGCGAGTGTTTCCAGAGGAAAGGATGGAGCTAATGCCTTCACACATGAATGCTCCTCCAGAACAAAGTGAAAGGTGTGTTTGCCAGGTCTGATAAAATGACAAGATCATAAAGTGTGGCAGGACAGCAATGGAAGTGGACTCATTGTACACATTGCATAATTTAATTTTCAGAAGCAAAAGGTTCTGGTTTTATGAAAGACAATATAGTAGTTATGAATACTGTTTAATGTGGCTTCTGGTCTTATTGACCTTGTTAAGCAGTTTCTGAAGTTGCCCATTTGAAATGTATTGGATTCATACATGCCTACACTAACAGATGAAATAATGTCATTTGTTATTTGAGATTGTGACTATAAAGGAGATTTTCATCTTCCCATATGCTGATATTATATAGTTGCTTCAGCCTGAAGGGCTGGTACCCATTTGTTGCTGAGTAGGTTGGGGGTGGCCCTGGCATGAGTCTGAAGAAGGGGGTTCAGATGCCTTTCAAGCTCTGCTCCCATCCCCCTAGCAGGATGCTACAAGAATTGTGAAAGTATTGGCAGAAGGCAGACTAGTGACTACACTTAGGCTGATGCTCAATCCCCCTAGAAGTCAACTGGCAAAGGGAAACATTGGAATTAAGGCTTTTTGTTTAATTCTTGCTTCACGATACACAGAGAGAAGAGCTGGAAAGACTTTCATAATTTCTTTTTTCTGCTTGTATTTATATAATTGTAACTCGGGGCGCATCTACCTTGAAACTGGAGAAGGGGTCTTTTAGGACACACGGGGAACCAGGAAAGCACTGTGGAAGAGAGACCATCTTTTCATTTGGTGTTTGCATAGTACCTCAAACAATAGGGCTCTGATCCATGATAGGACCTCCTCAGCACTGATGCAATGGTACAAATAAATATTACCACTGCTACTGATAATACATGAAGTCTTGAAATGGAGAGTGATTTTTGGCTGCTTAAAAATCCTTCATTTTTTTGGTTTCTTTGTTTTTTTCTTAAAACCCATATAGCTCTAATAGTCTGGAGAAAAGCTCTCAGCACTTCAGACGCCCCATCCTGGCTCTTTCAACTAAAGGACTGACAGAGTTCCCAGGCCACACCTCTCAGTTTTCCAAGGAACTCTTCAGAAAAAAACAGAAAACCATAGTTGGCATTTCTAAGGTAAATAAGCTGAAACAACCCCCTTAAAATCCCTCTCTATACTCATTTTAAAAATGTCTACATATTGTAAGACTGGCTGACTTCCAGTGCAGCAATGGAACATCCCTTCTTTGATCACTATGCCCCCTCTTGAGGGCCAAGTCATCTGTCTCTGCAGTGGCACCTGCCTTTTGGTAGCTCAAGAGATTTAGGAAACAACGCGCCGCCGGGGTGGGGGGTGGTGTGGTGTGGTGTGCAGGGAATGTAAGTCCAGCACCTTGGGTGAAGTTTCTTTCCTATTCTGTCCTGCAGCAGTTCTGTCTTGTGGCCAGCAGATGGCAGGTGCAATATCACATCAACAAAGTTACAGTATTATCAGCTGTCCTGATGACTATTCATGGGTCAGTGATTTGAATAAGTGATCACTTGAGCTTTCCTGGCTGTCAGCATGACTAAGTCCTGGTCTGGATTGAAAAGGTGGCTGTGATGTCTGTTCCTGTTAGGGTGGTGGGGAAGTGCTTGCAATTATTTACTGAAACTATTATACTAGGAAAATCCCTAGCCTGCAAGCAGTTGTTCCACTAATAGTGGCCTATTGCATAGTTACAGTATTCCCCTTTCCAAGCAGATACAGTATGAAGCAACCTTATAATGGTATAACGGAGGCCATATTAGTTGACATAATTAAAATGGTACAGCTTTCCCATGTAGATAGACCCAAAGGGGTAGATCTTTAACTCCAACTTCAGTGTATATTAGCTGAGAATCACCTTACAAATATAGTGTAGCTCTGTGAGAATATCCCTAAAGGTAGAGTCAAATAGTTAGAATCAAAGAGAGACTGTCGTATTTTAAGCATCTGTTTTCAGGCATGAATATATTGGCAGGAAACATCACCCTTTGGTGCCAGTTTTCTGTGCTTGTTGTCAGGTTTGCCTGCTAATGTTATTTATTACTGCCATCCCAGCTAATACCTAAGGGCTGTAGGGCACTGGAGAACTTGGTCTTGTGGCATTGGGACTTGGCATATTTGGCACAAGAAAGGCTCAATAAAGCTTGAAAGTCCCTTCCACTGCTCCAAAAGGCTTTTGATTTGCTGGGCTGTTCCCAGTGATTCTCCAAAGGGAGTTAGGGAGATGGATGAAAAGAGCTGGATCGTGCAAAAAGAGAGCACATTGTATACAAAGAGAGAAAGTCTTCCCAACAAAGCCAAGTTCTCCTATGAAAAGCACCCTGGCACTGATCTTCCTGAGTTGGAACCGCCACGTGGCAATCATTTTCATTTCCTTTCTTGGCTCATTTTAAAATTAAACCCCCTGCTGACTGTCCTCCACTGCTGCATCTCCTTCCACTTTCTGTTCTAAGCAAATGCCTCTGAACAAGGAGCTGATTTTCTGAGCTGGCATGAGCTATGTCACTTTCCTCAAAGGTATGTGAGGTCTTGATTTGTTTAGGGCAGTCAAACTGATTTTGGTTAAAGAGCCTCAGACTCTCTGTTCTCCTTAGGCTTTAACAGACATGCTTTGGAGTTGGCTATAAAATGTTTGTAAGTCATAGAAGGAGGGTCAAGTTGCCTGTTGTTCTTAATGCAGGATTTAAGTGATGGCTAGATTATCTTAAACTGGTGAAAGATGGTGTATTGTTAGCCTATAAGCAAAATTCACCATATACCTATGCAATAGGCGGTAATATCAGTCACAGCCATGACTGATGCACTACAAATGTAGTTTATATAGAAGGTTCCCACAACTACCCTGCTAGTAAACCTGACCTCGTTTCAAGTCCTTAGTCCTGCAGTTAGTGGTAGGGAGCTGTGTAATTTAGATATATGTTCATTAAGACCGGGACTGAGACCAACAACTCATTTCACAGAGGTCATATAACCACTGTGAATTTGAGCTGGATTTGAACTTCTTATATTAGGATGAAAGGCCACTGAGTTGAATGTAGAGTTTCACCTTAAGTGAATGTAGAGAGCTTGATCAAGTCATTGTGAGGCTTTCTGTTGACATCACTGCACTTTGGAACGGGTCCAGACTGTTCTCAAATGCAAAGTAAATGCTCAGAAATTGTGCAGGGGAAAGGCAGTATCATGTTTAGTGGTTATAACACATGACTGAGCTCAAGGGCAAATCACTTCAGTTTTCTGCCTCAGTTTCAGTAAAATGGGGAATAAATAAGAATCTTAAATCACTTGGATTTTGCTTGTAAGGGGCTGAGATCTCACAGTGGTGATCTTGGACAAAAGGAAGCCCCAGCTGCTATTTTCAGTCCAGCCATCCCAATTGACACTAACAGACCCTGTGCATCTTATTCGCGCCCCCCCAGCAGCATCCACAAGGGAATTGAGAAATGAAACAGAGACCTCAGCATTCACTTTCAGTCTGCCTAGTGAGCATTTCTCTTGTGAATACTGCTGGTAAGAGCTACAGCTGTGGCATGAACGCAGCGCTCTCCTCAGCATTTTGCATGAGCCGATGGATTACCGTAAACGCGGGGAGCGGAATTTCTGATTCTGCCTTGACAAGAAGCCGGGAGGGGAAGTGCCGTAGCGAAAAAGAAGCGCTATGAGTGGTTGGGATTTTCAGAAAGCTGCATTCACGACTGATGTCTGTGCCCCGATTCACACGGTACGCCAGGCAGTTACAACACAGTAAAATGACAGGCCCAGCCCCGAGGCGCTTACAGCGCTGTGAGAGGAGCATCTCCTGTGACGAGCAGGCACGAAGCAGTGCCTTTTGGACACAGATCTCC